TTTGCTTTCCCATGCTTGGATGCTAAGGAAAGCATTTTAGTTTTTTATTCATGCATTTGGAATTTGGAACTTTTTTTACGTCGTGAAAAACATACTCCAAAAACATTTTTCATTAGGAATTTCTATTACACATTCTTTTTCCCACTTCCACACTGCAATGCATAAAATTTTTAGTTTCTTTTTTGCTGATGCTTCTTGTTTTAGCATACAGAGGTTGAGCCGATATCAACATACGTAGATTTTGGGGAAAGAGAGTTTTTGGTTGCAGATGAAAGAGGTTATGAGTATTTACTGTATAAAATGGCTGAGGAATTTCTATTTACTTCGGAGGTTAAAATCCTGGACAACCGCCTTAAACTCAACAAGGTATGAATCCAACCCTTTGATTTCTTTTCTTTTCTTTTTTTCTTTTGAATCCGATTATTTAGTCCATATGACATGAATTTTTAGTTTTTTATAGCTCGGCCATGGGATGAAAACAAAGGAAATAGGGAGGGTGCAATTAGAAAAAAAATCTGAAACATTTATATGCATGCACTGTTCTCTTTTTGATGTAAAGCTTGATTGACTCACTTTTGGGAGTTGGCAGATAATGACGTTTACTAAAAGCTATTTTAACCTTTGATTATTTTTATTTTTATTATTATTATTATTTAGATACTTCTCTTCAGCCTTCACTATGGACGGTCAACTGTTTCTTTTTCGTTTCTATTTAGATATTTCTTTTGTTGATTAATTATATTGCTCCTCTTTTTTCTTTTTTTCTTACTGCATCATTATGATTTTATAGACGTAGACCACTGCATATTAGTATTTAGTTATAATGCTAATATATTTTTCTCGTTGAAAATTTTGGATTCTTTTGGTTGTTCCTTTTCTTGTCTCTTGACCCGTAGTCGTCTTTTCCATCACTGTAACGATCATTATCAACAGCAAGAAAATAGTTACGTCAACCACAAATGTTGGGTCTGTTCCCAACTATGAGCAATTACAATGATACAAAGCGGGGTTGCACTTATTAGACAATACCTTATAGTTTTTCATTTTAATTATTTAACTTGCTTTCAAACATTTAGGTCACTTTAGCCTCACTGAAGTGATCATCCAATAGTAGGGCCCCGAATTCTCCAATTTTCAGTATTCTGCAAACTGCACTGTCCACAATGACATGAGAACAACACCCCGGAGTTGAGATGTCTTGTCAAGCTTACATAGGGACATGCAAATAGAGTCTTGTCAGTTTCTCCATTTAATATGTTGTTGTATTCACTATCGTTGCTCTAAATCAGACATCAATTACCTTTTTCTTTTTTTCTTTCCTACTGTTTACAATGCCTTATGGAAACCTTCCGTAAGTTGGTAACGAGTGCATTGACTCCATGTTACCTCCTTCAATGAATCTTCCCCTTTCTGCTAGACCGCTTTTGGTATCTGAACTGCATGAATTTTCTTGCTTTGACTTCTCAGAATTTTATGAGACGTTTTGGCTGTTACCTTGGAATTCACCTACTCTAAAATTTTCTTTAAAAATTTTCAATTGACTAATAGTTCTTGTTTACTATAATATAATTAAGATGCTGAATATGTTTTTATTTATTTGTTCATGGACTTGGGGCAGGTTGTCAGAGAATTACAGCACTCGAGAAACGGCGTCACGGTGAAAACAGAGGATGGTTGCGTTTACGAAGCTGACTACGTGATTTTGTCTGCTAGCATTGGTGTTCTCCAAAGCGACCTTATTTCCTTCAGGCCAGCCTTGCCCGTAAGTATCTTCTTTTTCTTGCATTTATCCATCAACATCATGTGATTTATGAAGATCTTGACCGTTGATCAATAGGATGAGAACCCTATGCTATAGGTCCCCATAGATGCGAGTTGCGAATTTGTTTTCCTGGATTTTTAAGTTGTGGGCCACAATATTAAATATCATAAAGTTCGAGTAAAAATTTATGGTTCTTGGAACTTTGCTTTATTAAATAGAGTTTACTGGTGGGTGATGAAAGGAATATATATTCTCGAGGTGCCTTTATTATATACAAATACCATGGGTTGCACGATGATCCACAGATTGTTTAACCCATAGGCTCATGTGATTAGCTCTTTTCTAGGGTTTAGATTTTTCTTTACCTCAACACGTGTACTTTGTGGGGTTGATAATTTACAGCTGCATTTCATTTCATTGAATGGTACTGCTTGGATAAAAAGGAAAAAAAGAAATTTGAAGTGGTACTGCTGGACGCTATGATTATCAATTATTAATTAAACTTGTTAAACAAGCTTTTCCTTTGTCACTTTCAACTTCGTAGTTGGCTTTCTTAAAAAATTGGTTATTTAACCAGTGAACTAAGTGTTTAAGGGGAACTCTCTTTTTATAGGTTATGGGTTCAAACAGTTATGTTTGTAGAGTGTAGAGTGTGTATTGTTAATAATTAAGAAAGATTTTGAATAATATTACCTTGTAATCATCTTATATTATTTAAAAAAAACTTAGTTATTTAGGGGGACTATATAGGCCATGCCATGATTTGCATTTTTCTGAGAAGGTAAACTATGTTTAGATCTAACCCTTAGAAGCCAGCGACATCATATATTCACCTCAATGATTGATAGAGATGTGTAATAGAACTGAAGCTGGTCTGAGAAAGTGACTGAATAAAACACGAAAAGAAATTAGGACGGTATGTGAGAATGAGAATGAAGTTCATGTCTTCGTTGAACATGTAGGGTTTGGGTGCTGCTACTGATGTTGCTACAACCAAATTTGTAAATTGGCTATTTAATAGACCACTTCAAAGAAATTTGAAGGAAAAATCCCCCACTTGCTCTTTTATCCATAATGAAATCAGAAAAGGCTTCTTAGAGATGCCTTGAAATGACATTTCATATTATAATCCATATTTTATGGTGGTCCCCTGGCTTAAGATTGCTTAATCATATAAAATTTCTTTTGCTTGATTAAATGCTAATTAAAGATAATGTGTAATGATGACAGAGGTGGAAAACAGAAGCCATTGAGAAATGTGATGTGATGGTGTATACAAAGATCTTTCTCAAGTTTCCGTATAAGTTCTGGCCTTGTGGGCCTGGAAAGGAGTTCTTCATATATGCTCACGAGAGAAGAGGCTATTACACATTTTGGCAGGTTAGTTTAGTGGTTATTTCCTTTATAATATTGTTGCTAGCTAATTTTGATGTTTTTTCTGCCCCGTGCTCTTCCTGCTACCCATTATAAAAAATTCAATCTTCGATTTTTTTTTACTACCATAAAAGAATTCTGTGGCGTACACTGGTTCTTGATTCTAGGCTGCTCCTGCTCTATTTATCATGTTGCAATTAAGAACCCCGATTTTTTTACTACCATTATAAACGACAACGCCACGTTACTTGAATGATTAAGCAGCCGCTAAATACAGATAATTGCTATTTATTTTTTTAATGAAGTTGGTGGTTGACTTTGTTGGTTATTTTTGTCTGTTAGGAGCTATAATTAACATTTAATAACGTGATATATCTAGATTTGGTAACTAAGATTATATACATGGATTTGAGTAGACCACACTACATACGATGACACTGCACCTTTGATGGATTCAGTTACTATCTGAGTTGTTTTCTGTGGTTTTTTTGGTGAGAATGAAATGCCTTTGATAATCAGTTTGATTACCAAAAGATATTAATTAATGTATTTGCTTGACGTTGAAGAAAACTGCACCTTTTTAATGATTAACTTGGCCGGTAGCGGATGAAGTATGAGGTCACACTGTCTTTATCTTATATTTGATGAGAATCCTATTTCTTTTTTGCATCCATGATTGATTGTATCATCCATTCATTTTTTTAACTACCCCTGGTATTCATCCAAATTGGCTGCTGATCTGTTGCTATGTCATCAGCACATGGAGAACGCATACCCTGGTTCGAATATTTTGGTTGTAACATTGACGAATGATGAATCGAAACGTGTGGAATCTCAATCCGATGAAGAGACATTGAAGGAAGCAATGGTTGTACTTAGAGACATGTTTGGGACCGAAGTACCCAATGCCACCGATATACTTGTTCCCCGCTGGTGGAAGAACAGGTTCCAGCGTTGCAGTTACAGCAACTACCCTATGATCTCTAATAACCAAGTCATTAATGACATCAAGGTAACTCCTATTTTCTCTCAGTGTATAGTATCTAGCTATTTTTCTATAAATAAAGTAATGCATGAATCTTGTATTTCTTTTGGTTACATTTAGGCCCCGATTGGACGCATATTCTTTACTGGTGAACACACAAGTGAAAGATTCAATGGCTATGTGCACGGTGGATACCTTGCAGGTAAGGAAGATAGAGGCCATTTAGGGGTTGCTATTGTGCCTCCAATTTTGCTAATGTTTTGAGATTAAACAACTGTTACAGGTATCGACACAGGGGAAACTGTAGTGGAAGAAATAAGAAGGGATGAAAGGCAAAAAGATAAACAGAACCAAAATTTCCTGCTGGAGCCCTTGCTAGCATTAACATTAACTCAGGCGGATGCAGTCTCAAGTCTCCATAAATGCGACGTTCCCACACAATTGTATCTAAGCAGCAAGCTCGGCATTCCTGAAGCAATATTATGACTATATGAACCACATTTTGACAACTTCAACGATGCCGAAATCGATCGTGAAGGATGGTGTCGAGCCAAATGTAGATCGGCCCCTTGATACAATCCACAAGGTGAAATGAAAGAAATTGCATGCCTAAAGTGGGTATTGCATTGCTTGGGGATGGGGATGGGAAAGGGAAATGATAGATGAAGGAAATGATAGATGAAGGAAATGAGAGCAAAACACATGGTGTATTCTAATTGTACTTAAAACCCAGGATTATTAATTCAATCAAAGTATTAAGATGACCTAAATATTTTTCAAATAAAGCCTTGGCAATAGTAAGAAAATCTCCTTTGGCCTTGACTGGGTACAGCTCAACCCCTGCTTGCCATTTATTTGACAATGATATCCATTGTTTCCTCCATTCCACCATATTGAAACTCTCATTTTTCTCCAAGCTTTTTAACAAATAGTTAAAATAGCTTGAAGCTCGAGGCAGATAGTATCCTTCCAACAGTCCACTCCAAAAATTTGTTGGCTAATAATAAAAGAAAAGATTTAATGTTAGTTCAGTAATAAAAGCTTGAATGATGATGCACCGTATTCAACGTTACCATAATCATGAAGCTGGCTTTGATTGACTGCTGTGGTATCAAACCACATTGTCACTTGCGTTCTAGCATTCCATTCATACTGTCCACAAGGAGTTAAATGTAACTTCATACCATTCCAACAAAAATAAACCACAGTAAAATGGATGGGGGATGTATTGGCAAAGTTATGCTCTGTTTAGGGTTGTAAATGAACGAGACAGATTGTGAGCTACTCGAGTTTAATTCCATTGAAATTTGGTCAACACTCTAGTGGAATAAACTCGACTCAAATTCTTAATGAGGTAAAGCGAGCTACTGATACATGACTCAAAATACTCGCGAGCTACTGAAAAAGGTAATATATTATTTTTTTATTTTTTAAATTAAATTATTAACATTTATGTTATTTTTTAAAAACATTTAATATAAAATTTTCATGTATTTAAGGTTAAGGTTCGAACTCGAGCTTTAATCAAGCTAAGTCTGAAAACGTTTCAAGCTCAAGATTTTTCAAACTCGAGCTTCAATTTTTTATTTCGAGTTTAAGTCGAGCTTGATAATTTTAAACTCGTGAGCTTTCAAACCGAATCGAGCTCAAATTTACACTTTTCGAGTCGAGTCGAGCTCAATAATACTCAAGTTCAACTCGACTCATTTATAATCCTAGCTCTGCTATGTGACCAATGAGAAGGTACCCTATTATTGATGACTAATCACCCGAGCTTTTCTAAAGTAACAAAACAATGAGGAAAATATTTTGTACACACCTGCCTCGTCTCGCTTGGATTTTTTGCCAACATTTTTGCACTTTCAAGCCATGTTCCAAGTAGAAAATTGTCATCAGAAGCAACAAGTACATCAATATCCTTTATTAGTTGAATAAACTTCTGACCGTGAAAATTTAAAGCTTTGACATCCTTCCTTCGAAAAGCTTCCACTGCGTCCAAATAGACTTTGTTTGCTAGCTTTGACAACACTTGACGTGTTAAGTCGACCAAATCATATCTGTCAGAAAACTCTGCATAAGTGGATATAACTCCCTATTTTTATTTTACTTCCTGTATTAGGAGCTGCTTTTATTTTTTGTTTTTGATAATAATATATTGAAATAAGAAAAGAAAAAATGAGTTAACCTATATGTGAGGCTGCCAGCTAAATCATTTCCAGCCTCAAGGACATTGACGACCTTATGAGTAGAATACCACAAATGTGCTTGAGGCAGATCAGAGCTACTTTTCAGAAATGAAAATACTCTGAATCCTTTTTTTCAAGCTGTACGTATTGTTTCGCTTTGATGGTTGAGATACAGAATTTGTAGATGGATCATAATCTGGAAATTTGACTATGATATCTGTGTTATGATCCTGCCACAAATGAAGATGCAGCATTAGCTCCTATTTAAAAATGAGAGAATGTCCTAAAATACAAAAACTCAGAAGTTAAATTTAGCAGCTGGAAAATCTATTCCAGGTAGACACGTTCCTGAAGCATATTAAATAATTCTATAGTACAGTTTCATATTTGGATATATTTCCAGTAAGGGTTTCTCCTACAGGGAAGTAATATGGAAAAAGAATTAGTAGTTCATCAGTGTATTGAAACATAAAGCGATTCCGTCCATACCATTGTGGGTGTAGGTCTTCAGCCATTCCTACAATGCAAGAAGTTAGCTTTTGGCCGGACAGCCTACGCACTTGAAAAAACAAAAACACACCAGAGCACTATCATTGCATGCATCTCAGTAATGTCATAATCCTAAGTGTCGATGATGGTTGACAATACAGAATTAACATCTCCAACGTGCTAGTCTCTGTGTCTGTCAATTATAACTTGAAATATAATGGACTTTTATCTTAACAAGAACATGGAAGAGGAATAAATGTATGTTCCATCACTTTCAAGTTCTGAAATTGAATAGTTAAAAAAGGTCAATTACCAGAACTTTAACTTTTTCCTTCCGAAATGCCATTTCAGACATTAACTCATAAACAACTGGATTTTGCTCTATCCCTTCCATGCACATGCCAACACCTACCTACAGATCATAAAAAGTTTTAAAATGTTAATTTCTATCGATGATTAGAAAATATTTCTAAAACACAAGACACTGCATATCATGGTTGAATTTTTACTTATGCGAGCATCCACTGGACCAGAAGAAATTGCATCCAGTGTTCCATACTTTTCAATATTTCCTCCAAAATTATGCAGTAAACACCTGATAAAGATATACTCAACATAACAATGAATTCCATAATACAGACATCAAATTATACGTTCAAGAAAAAAAATGAATTAAAAAAGTAGACATCTTGCTAATGGGTTATGGAGTGCCATGAAATTTCAGGAGAAAATGATGACAGAATTACCAGACATAAGGAGTGCCATAAAATTGAGAGGATATTTCTCATATTGGTTTGACATCAGCGAATAAATCAAGAACTATCATTTTCCCCACTGGAACAGAATGTAAAAGTGCTTGCGAATATTACCAGATTTATATGATCAAATGAATTAACAAAATGACTGGCACTTAGAATACTGTTCCAAAAAGAACTATTTCCTAAGCAATAATATGCCAAATGACTTCTTTATTTTTCATATTTTAAAGAAATAAGGTTTTCTAACGATTCATCCCTGTTCCAATGTTATCCAAAACCTAAAAACCCAACTGAGAGTTCCTAATGCAGCTTGAATAGGCCATTGCTTAATACTTCAGAAAAAGGATAATAAAATAGTTTCCCAAGTAGCTGAAATGTTTAGATTATTAAAAGAGAGACACTCTAATAAGAATATCAAGTTGAAAACAAAATATGCTAGTTACTGATTGTTTAGTTTGTATATACCTTCATTTGGGGTGGCTTCCAGAAATTTGACTCGGTAGAAAAGCCAACCCTGCATATTGGTAGAATAATCTAGTAACAGTTAATGATAAAAGAAACCTAAATTATAGGAGTCAACTTAAATATGGCCATGTTATCATGCAAGGAAATCATATTAAAAAGTCAGATATACACTATACGTCATTTTATGGAAATATCATAAACTGTTTGCAAAAGAATAAACAGAATAAAAGAGGGTTCAATGTTGTAGAAGTAACGACCATACTTGCACCAACCACAAAGCATCTTTGTCACCATTGGACATTGCTTTGTACACAGCAGCACCGAGGGAAGAGATATATGTTGGGTCATTTGTAGGCAGGGAATTTTCATTGAATGTGTCACTGCATTCATAAAACATGTATTTTCTTCAATGTCACCAGCACAGAGAAAAAACAGCATAAAATAGAAAAACAAAGCAATAAATGGAGTTGTACTTCTAAGTTCTTATAGCTTGAAACAGTTCTGGGAGAAAAGAAATATGATGGTAAGATACAGTAATTAAATAGACTGAGATTATATACCAGTTGTAGATGTCAGTCACATCACCATATTCTGATGAAGTAGAAGACAACAGTGAGAACCCACAAGAAATAGTCAACAAATTAAGTAGGGAAGATGGAATTGTATAATGCTCATATATAACCTCAGAGCTTTTAAAAGTATGTACAATGTTAGCAGAAATAAAATGTGTTATCAATTCAGTAAGGGTAAATATACATTTTGGTGCTTGAACTTGGCTTCAAGGTGCAATTTGGTAACTAAACTATTTTTGGTCCAATTAGGTACCTAAACATTTTTTGTTCCAATTAGATACCTGAACTTGGCTTCATGGTTCAATTCGGTTCAAATAAGTCTGTCATGGTGGGAGGAGAAAGACGAGAGAACGAGGAGGATTTGGGGAATGAGGTGCGAGGGTTAGGGATTGAAGAGGAAGAATTGGGGATTGAGGCACGTGAGGGGAAGGTGATTTACTTACCTTCTGAAGTGGAGCAGGTGAACCGGTCCAGGAGGATTTGGAGTAGGTCCAGGAGGAATTGGAGCAGCCCGAGTCCAAAGGCCCAATACCTGCAAAAGAAAAGAAGGATAACTGAGTTTGTTATAGTCTGTTAGAAAAGACAGCCAGCTGGCAATCCTTAGAAATTCTGTTAGCCCTGTAACTAAATAAAACGGGAATATGGATGATATTTTTCCTTATGTTATGAATGAAAAGCATTTCCTTTCTCTAAATTCTCTCTTCTTCCTATTACCTCATTCTTGATTTCTCTTCTATTTCTCTTGAACCATAACAAATTGGTATCCAGAGCCTTAATTCCTGACAACTTTCAGAGGGTATTGCCAAAGAAGAACCAGAATATGGCTGAAGTTGATTTCTCTTCGCTGTAAAAACAGGTTGAAGATTTAGCTGTGTTAGTAAAGCAAGGCCAAGAAGACACTAATCCACCTAAATGGTGGGAAACTCAAGAAAATCGAATCACTGCATTGGAATCAAGAATGTCTACTAATCAGGGTTATGTTGAGGAGCTTTTAAAGATCTTAACAGGCAGAAATGGTGAGCAAGAACATTCTGCTGATGAACATGTACAAACTCCTAATACTTCTAAAAATGCTGAGAAGAATTTTTTTTTTGGTGACTGTGGTGAATGATAAGTCCAGATTTACTTATAAACAAAGTTATCAAAGGCTCAAGGCGCATCGAGGCGCAAAGTGTCCTGGAGCCTTGAGGCGCGAGACGCATGAAAGGCGCGGGATTCACAAAGGCGAGCGCATGATATCCAAAAAATTGTAACACATGTATATATTAATGCAATCAAACTCAAATATCATAGATACCCAATATTAGGCTTCAATAGAGTTTATTCTCAAATTCAAAATACCAACCTAACGTCATAAAAGTTATCAACAAGCATAATCAAGTACTAAGTTTAACAAAAACATTCAACATGCAAAAACAAAACATCAAATAAAGTCACTGATAATCATCATCAAACATCAAACTAATCCTCATCATCATCGTCAAGTGGTATGTCATCATCTTCCTCCTCATCCGTCTCACAATCCCCAATGTTTTCTTCTTCAGTGTCACTCTCCTCTAGCATAACAACTTCATCATCTTCATCATCTTCATCTATAAGGTGTGGTCTAGCTTTTTCCTTTCCTTTCGAGCTTGAACTAGCAACGTTCTTTCTTCTAGTATTATGGTCACGCTCATAAGCTCCGGAAGCTATACCAACATCCTTCCATGTCAAATCGTCATCATCAAACACATAATCTTCATTTTCTTCTTCATCCTCATCCATTCTACCCAACAACCATTCGTTACTTTCATCAATGTCATCCAAAGAGATTGGATCAATGACATCACGATGATTATAACGCCGTTTTAACGCTCGATTATATTTCACATAGACTAAATTATTGAGTTGAGTTTGCGCAAGTCGATTTCTTCTTTTGTTATGAAGCTGCCAAATTATAACAGAATAATCAAGAGTCAAAAACATTACTTATGATGTTTCTTAAATGATATCTAAGTTACTTACGAGACTAAAAATACTCCAATTTCGCTCACAATCACTTGTCCCAGAAGCCAGAAAAATGAAAACAGAAAATTAAATAAGAGAAACTGTGATTATCAAGAACAGACACATACGCAAACGAATAACTGCATACTTAAAAAAGGAAAAAAAAACAAGAACAGACACATACGAAATTACGAATAACTGTATACTTAGAAAAGAAAAGAAAAAAAACAAGAACAAACACATACGCACGAATTGTGGTGATTATCAAGAGAATTTGATTCAGAAAAACAAAATTCTTTCAACACAGATGGTTAACAGTATAAATCGAAAGATCAATCGAAGAACAGAATCACTTACGGGAAGAATTGAATGTGTGAATCAATTAATCGAATTGTTGCTACTTTCTTGTTCAACGTCGCAGTCTCCAGTCGAAGAAAAGGAGGAAGCGAACGATCGATAGATTAGTATGTATGGATTAGAAGGCCGATTGACAGTAGATTGAGGGTTTTAAATAAGAAAGGAGAAGGAAAAATAAGAAAATGAGACTCTTACGTGTAGTTAGAGCCTTAAAAGACAAATCAAATTCAAATAATAATAATATTCTTTAAAAAAAATTAAAATGAAGATAAGATAGGATAAGTTTATTTTGAAATTTAATATTAAAATTTGTGTTCTGTGAAATATTATTATTTAAATTAGTATAATGTAAATTTCAGAATAATTAAATTAGATTTCAAAATAAATAAATTTAATTATTTTAGTAAAATTCGAATAATTTAAGTATACATACTCACAAAACTTTTAAATCATAGATTTATATCCTTCACTTAGTTATTAATCAGTAAGTTAATTAAACATTCTTTTTAATCTATGCTAATACATAGAAGTACTTTTTCTTTCCGAGTTTCATCAGTTAATCGTGCATTCCTATTATAGGTTTGCTTAATTTTTAGACTGTCACAAATTTTGATGAGCAGAAAAGAAAATATCAAATACTGATAGATAAATAAACTTAGGTGAAGAAAGGACCAAAAACGATTACAAAGCTTATTTGTTTGAAACAACATAACGAAAATGGTCGTTCATTTATGCAGACCATGTATGCATAGAAGAGAAGCCCTGCAGTAATAATTACAAGGTTTTAAGCCCACATCGCGCCTTAATTGCGCCTCGACTGAGCCTCGCGCCTCAGAGCCTCTTTGCGCCTCGCTACGCCTAGGTGCGCCTAGGCTACGTGCCTCGCTTCAGTGTTGAAAAAGCCCGTCCAGTGAGCCTCTGCGCTTTTGCGCCTCAGGCGCGCTTTTTACAACTATGCTTATAAAACTGATGAACCTGGGATTTTAAAAGCTAAACCTGATGCTTGTTTAGCCATTAAGAACAATTCTAGACATGAGAATCAAATGGGTGAAAACAGTGAATCTAGACCTATTATGTTGGGTTCTGAAGTAGAAAGAAGAGGCCTAGGGGGTTCATTTAACAGTTCAGGGACTATGTGGCATAGACCTAAAATTGAATTGCCATTTTTTGAATCAATCGTAGGGGATGGCTTCAGAAGTGCCTTAAGTATTTTTCTCTCTGTAGTGTTCCTGTAGATCAGAGAGTTGAAGTAGCCACTATGTATCTTACAGGCAAAGCAGAAATTTGGTTTGATGGCTATATTATACAGAAACATCATGTAACATGGCATGAGTTTGAAGTTGATCTTTGTCACAGATTTAGTGACAGGTCTTTTTCTGATATAGTGGAAGAATTCACTAAGCTGCCTCAGAAGGGGTCTGTTGAGGACTATCAAGAGAAGTTTGAGGAGTTACAACCACACATGCTATTGCAGAATCCTACCTTAAATGAGGATTTCTTTGTATCACTTTTCATCAGTGGACTTAGAGAAGACGTCAAACATAAGGTCAAGGCTCTAGATCCTAAAAACTTGTCTGAGGCATGCAAACAAGCTAAGTTTTATAAATTGTCTGTTGAGTTTGAGAATATAAGATTGAGGCTTTCTTTTAAAACCCCACCCTACCCAAACCCCATTACTACTTCTAAGACAAATTCATGCATTACCTCTCAAAAACACATCAATTTCCAATCCAAAACAGAACCTCATGGACTACAGAAGACAAAACAATCTTTGTTTTAAGTGTGGAGAGAAATTTCTTCCTGGGCATCAGTGTAAGACAAGGAACTTAAACATGATGATTGAGGAAGAGTCTGCTATACCTACAGAAACTGTACCTACTGAATCAGACCAGCAAATGTTGCAAGAAGAGGAGAGCATAGAAATATCTATGAATGTTATTACTGGTTGCATTAGCCATAATACATTAAGAATTTAGGGAACAATTCAAGGCAACCATTAAACATTTTGATTGACAGTAGTAGTACCCACAGTTTTTTAACACCACAATGGGTTGATGCTGGAATTCAAGTGCTTACCCCATACCCTTTACCTATTGCAGTAGCTGATGGTCAACAACTCTACAGTTCAGCAAGATGTAACAAAGTAGAGTGACAGATGCAAGGACACTCTTTCATACATGATTTTAGACTCCTTAAACTGGGTGGGAGTGATATGGTCTTAGGTGTTGATTGGATGAAATTATTTAGTCTAATTTTGATGGATTTCAATCAAATGACAATGAGTTTTGAACATCAGGGTGAAAATATTGTTATACAAGGACAACAACCATCACTGTCATTGCAGCAAATTTCAAGGCTACATTATTGAAAATGACAGCCTCAGATGCACTATTTTGGGGCATGTGGTACTACTGAGTATGACTGAGACTCCTAAACCTATTCCTGCAGCTCTTAAACCTTTTTTAAAAAAGTATAGCTCTATTTTTGTTGAGCCTAAGGTTTACCACCTACAAGAAACCATGATCATACTATTCCTCTCAAACATGGGTCTAGTCCTATCAATCTAAGACCCTACAGATTTCCCCATAATTAGAAGGCTGAAGTGGAACAACAGATTGCTACCATGCTTTCCTCCTCTATTATTCAACCTAGCAAGAGTTCATTTGCTTCTCCATGCCTCTTAATTAAAAAGAAGGATGGTACTTGGCGGTTTTGTGTTTATTACAGACAGCTAAACAATATGACAGTGAAGGATAAATTTCCTATTCCTGTTGTGGAAGATCTATTGGATGAACTACATGGAGCTTTTTATTTTTCAAAGATTGATTTAAGATCAGACTATTGACAAATCAGAATTAAAGATGAGGATATTTACAAAATAGCATTCAGAACTCATCAAGGCCATTATGAATTCAAGGTAATGCCTTTTGGACTCACTAATGCCTCTGCTACATTTCAAGCATTAATGAATGAATTGTTTAGTTTATTCCTTAGAAAGTTTGTCTTGGTTTTCTTTGATGATATCCTAGTCTACAGTAACTCTATGGCAGAACATATTACTAATTTACAACTAGTTTTAGAGGTTTTGCAAATCAATCAGTTATTTGCCAAGTTGTCCAAATGTTTCTTTGGACAAACTCAAGTGGAGTATTTGGGGCATATTATTTCAGCAGCTAGAGTAGCTACAGATCCTACCAAGGTAGAAGCAATGAAGAATTGGCCTACTCCTAAATCTTTAAAATCTCTGCGTGGGTTTTTGGGTTTAACTGTCTACTATAGAAGGTTTATTAGAGACTATAGCTCTATAAGCAAACCTTTAACACAATTGCTTACTAAATACAGTTTTAAGTGGACCACTGAAGCTTTGATTGCTTTTGAAAATCTAAAACAGGTTCTGTGTGTTGCTCCTGTTTTAGCTCTACCTGATTTTAGTAAGAGTTTCTATTTGGAAACAGATGCCAGTTCAGGAGGTATTGGTGTTGTGTTATCTCAAGTTGGCAGACCTATTGCTTATCTTAGTAAAGCTCTTAGTCCTAGACATGCTGCCCTCTCCATTTATGATAGAGAGTATCTTGCTATTTTATTAGCAATCTCTAAATGGAGGCATTACTTAGAGAGCAAACCATTTGTTATTAAAACAGATCATGAGCCTCTAAAGTATTTACTAGAGCAGAAATTAACCACCACAATTCAAAAGAACAGGTTGAATAAATTATTGGGGCTTGATTACACTATTCAATACAGAAAGGGTAAGTCAAATATTGTAGCAGATGCTTTGTCTAGGCAATGGGAAGATCATAGTCAGTGTCTTGCTATGGGAACTACTTTGATCATTCCTAGTTGGGTGCAAGAAGTGGAAGACAGCTATAAGGAGGACAAAATGGCTCTTGATTGGATCTTTATATTAACTGTGAATTTCAATGTTGATCCTAATTGGAAATTTTCAAAAGGGATCCTCAGATTTAAGGACAGGGTCTACATTGGGTCTGCTGGGTCTCTTAGACTACATATTCTTCAAACCCTACATGATTCACCTCATGGAGGTCATTCAGGGACTCAGGCTACTTATCAGAGGATTAGATCATACTTCTATTGGCCTAGGCTTAAAGCTATGGTAGCCACCTGTCAGATCTTGTACAGTTTGTCAACAAATTAAGGTGGAGCATATACCTAAACCATGACTACTACAGCCCCTACCTATTCCTTAGCAAGCTTGGAAGATGATTACTATGGATTTTATTGATGGCCTACCTACTTCATTCAAGAAAAATTGTATATTGGTGATAGTAGATAAGTTCACAAAATACAGCCATTTTTTGGCACTGTCCTACCCCTACCCTACAGCTGATGTAGCTAAGTTATATTTAGACAATGTTTACAAGCTACATGGCCAGCCTAAAATGGCCATTTCAGACAGAGATAAGACATTCACTAGTCACTTTTGGAGAGAACTAATGAAGCAGTTGGGAACTACAACCTATTCAGCACTGCTTACCATCCTAAAATTGATGGCCAGACAGAAAGGGTAAACCAATGTCTTGAGCAGTATTTAAGAGGTCTTGTTTTTTTTTAACCAAAACAGTGGGCTAAGTGGTTGCCTCATGCTGAGTGGTAGTACAATACTACCTATCACACAGCCCTAAACCTAACACCCTTTCAAGCTCTATATGGCTATAAGCCTCCTACGATGGTTTGGCAAACAGAAACACAAGTATAGATTGTTGGGGATTTAATGCGTAGCAAGAAGAAATCAGACAGCTTGTGAAATAACAATTAGAACATGCTAGTAATCGCATGAAACAAGAAGCAGACAAAAAACGATCAGAACGGGTATTTGCAGTAGGGGATGAGGTTTACCTGAAATTGCAACTGTATCGTCAAACCTGCCTTGCCCTGCGAAAGAATCTGAAATTAACGGCTAAATTTTATGGGCCATACAAAATTACAGAAAGAGTTGGAGAGGTCGCATACAGATTAGACTTACCAGAAACATCTCGCTTGCACCCAGTCTTTCATGTCAGTCTGTTGAAGAAGCATGTTGGTGCAACACAGTCACCTCGACCGATCCTCTTGTGGTTGATGACGAGGGGTCATTTCGAATAGAGCCAAGTAAAATTTTGGGCAAAATTGTTAATCGCAATAACAAACCTGTGACACGGTTGCTTGTTCGATGGACTAACTGGATGATTCGAATGACACCTGGGAAGATTACTCCGTTCTTCGAGGCCAGTTTCCATCATTTGATCCTTGGGGACAAGGATCTTCTCAAGGGGCGGTATTGTCATGGTGGGAGGAGAAAGATGAGAGAACGAGGAGGATTTGGGGAATGGGTGTGAGGGTTAGGGATTGAAGAGGAAAAATTGGAAATTGAGGCACGTGAGGGTAAGGTGATTTACTTACCTTCTGAAGTGGAGCAGGCTGAACCGTCCAGGAGGATTTGGAGCAGGTCCAGGAGGAATTGGAGCAGCCCGAGTCCAAAGGCCCAATACCTGCAAAAGAGAAGAAAGATAACTGAGTTTGTTATAGTCTGTTAGAAAGGACAGCCAGCTGGCAATCCTTAGAAATTCTGTTAGCCCTATAACTAAAAAAACAAGAATATGGATGATATTTTTCCTTATGTTATGAATGAAAATCATTTCCTTTCTCTAAATTCTCTCTTCTTCCTATTACCTCATTCTCGATTTCTCTTTCTATTTCTCTTGAACCATAACAAAGTCTTTCATCCTAAGTACTAATTTGAACCAAAAAGTGAAGTTCAATTACCAATGAAACAATTTTGGATACCTAAAAAACTTTAGGTATCAATTGAGCATTAAAGTCTAGTTTTTTTTTTTTTTTTGAAATACTTTATTGGACCAAAAAAGAGTTTAGATGCCAAACTGCTCCTTGAAGCCGAGTTCAGCTACCAAGATATATATTTACCCGTTCAGTAATAAGGGACTTACTTTTTCTCGCCAATATTGTACTTTTCCTAGTTGGCACAAATGATGTCAATATCTACATGCCCATGTGCTCACTCTCTTAGTCAGAAGTGTGCACAAACACATTCTTAGTAAAGGTAATATACCTAGGGGATTCAAATAGCGATCGCAGTAACGTTTTCGGTCACGTCGTATTTGTCGCGATTGCGGACATAGCGGGCGCTATTACGAGAATTGCGGGTATCGCGGTCATATAATAACGGTTATGAAGGGCACCGTTACCTGTATATTGCGGGCACTATCGCAATCGCGGACCGCTATTTAAATCCTTGATATACCTAAATTTCGTCTGGTATATAACTAATGCCCGTCTTATTTTGCCTCAGCATTTCTAGATAGAATCATTTAGTACTACATTTAAATTTTTATATTCCTATCAGTCATTTTATTAGTTAAATGCTGAATGTATCTAAAACATTACTAAAACAAATCAATATCAGCACTTCTAGATGAACAAATCTTTGATCTGCATTCTGATAAAAGCCTCTCCAATCTCAACAAATAGAGGATCAGAAGGATTCAGGAGATAAGTACAGCACCAATGCAGATCACCGTCCACTGTGTTCCTATAAGGGGTAAAAACAGAACAGTAAACTCATGCTTTTATAAATTAATCTTTCAATGCATCATGTATATGGTCCAAAAAAGTAACAACAAAAATCATTCATAGTTTTCTTAAAGTGAAACCCACAAGGAATGTCATCAGTAACTCATGATGTGCTCTCAAGAATAGGAAAATCAAGTACCAGTCCCCTAGTCTAGTTATATTTGCTGAAGGGAAAACTGTCTTCAAAGCTGCTGCAACATTCCCAGAGAAAGACGGAAGCACTGGAGCAAATGGAAGACAATATAATTATCAGCTATATTGGTTGTAAAACAACGATAAAACTCTGTTGTATAAACTAGCTCTAACATAATTTAATGCAATAATTGATGCGTAGAGACACAGCTGTACAAAAATAGACATGAACATTGCAATGGAAACATTAAATAATTTCTATCAGAAATTTAACTGTACCCGGAGTCATGCCTAGCTCTAACATCCGAGATAGTATCTTCTTTTGTAAAACCAATTGCTGATTCAACCAGTTTTCCGATAAAGGACCACCCCACCTGTGGCAAAAAATAAAACCTTAGGTCCAAGAAACCAAAAGCAGAAGATCAGTATACCAATAACAGGACTTAATAAAAAAATGAAGAACCTATGATTCAGAAAACTTAAGGAACACAGCATTTTCCTTTCACCAAATATTGTGATTTTGTTGGTGATTACGAGCATTTTGTATCAATTATTACCATGACCGTGCCTTGTAATAGGCTAGTGCACAAGTTTAGCATAATGAGAGATATTAAACAGAACACTCACCCAGTATGAAGATTTGTGGTGTGTACAATCCATTTTTGGTGATAGAACACCAATCAGGATGAAGATTTGATTTGTATAAAACCTGGTTTTGGTGGCAGCTCGACTTGGTTTATACCTTATGTTCTGTGTATACAATTTCAATCAAACCCTTTCTTGAACTAAAACACCCAATGCTCCATAAGGATGAATATTCCTTATGCCAAAATGTGTAATAAACTTCAATATATTCCGTCTAATACGAAATATAAAAATTCCGCCTACTGCTAAACACAGAAATAGAAGCATCAATATTAACCTCCTTTTTGCAGCCATTATGTTTGAGAAATAGGATAACAGTTAAAAAAAATCATATCTAACCTACCCATGTAAATTTCCCATGTGAGCCCAAGCAAGGAAAGCTGGTCCACCAAAGAAATCATTCAAATCTTCCATGGTAATATTAAATCCCTGGAGATTAGAAGCTGATTCTTAATAGATATAAAAGGAAATAAGTCATCTTGCACAAATAACATTAACACAAGACAAATCAAGATGCTTAATAACATTGAAGGTTCTTCACCATGAAAACATTTTGCCATATGGCTTCTTGTCCCGTAAATGCCAACTGCAGGTTGATTCCTTGGAGAGCCATCCAGTCTATCTCTTTCTCCCATCTTTCCCAATCCCACCAGACATATGAATCTGCAGGAAAGGCTATGATATTGCAGGGAGTACTTTTCTAACATCATGTAATGTCTAAAAACTATATATCTGCTGTTATCATCTTCTTCTCAGTGTCAATCACTATTACGATAAGAACTACAGTCCAACTGTAAAATAACCTAAATCAGTTCAACCTTATTCCTCCTTTTCAATGGGGAACACAAACCTAAGATGACTGTGCAGTTCTGAAACTATTGTACGTTATAACCTACATGAACATGATGATTGGAAAGAGTGAGTGCAGGAACAAGGGTCCATATACTTACAACTAGAAGTAACAACATTTTGGTAATAGTTCCATGGAACAGGCCGTTGAATCAGCACACCGTCATCTTTTACACGGGGCAATAACCCTGGCTTGGGAACGGAGGCTAACTGCACACCACCAGTCTTGTCCCAAGATACATGAGCACCACAGAAATATTTAATATGCCAGTGGAGGCCAGAGGCAATTTCAACTGCTGTGGTACCTTAATTCTGGGGTTGGCAAAGAAAAAAAAATTGTCAAAACGGCAAACACTTTTAACCATCTTCTTAAACTGAAGCAAGAAACAAGACGATCCAAACTCTTTTGCATCATCCTGTTAACCAGGAATAACATTACCTAATGTTGTAGGATATGATCATTAGTCAAATTGACTAAAATCCTAGAAGTTTTCAGAACAACACAAATAGGTATCCATCCCCACACTCTACAATTATGAACTAAAACAAGAACTGATTGTACATACATTATCTCGGGTCCATTTTGGTTGAAGCCATTGTAATTTTCTATGGAAAAGCAACCTTGTCCCCCACAAACATCCTGATATACGGAAGAGAAGTACGGTAACAGTCAAAGACAGTAACAACAAGAACAAAATGTATGGTTGCAATTGTACTAGTTTTCTCTTTAAGAGGCTAATAGACCAGCTCTTCCTTCAAAGAATAAACATAGTAACTAGCAACTCAAATTAGACTAAAAGAGGATAGATACAAACACCTTGGAGACAATCTTAAAGTCGAAACTGTGAAAATGGGTAGGGAGCAATCTTCCCAAGACGGCTTTAGCGGCTGATTCTTGAACCGAAGGAGATGAGCGTTTGGAGTCTAACCGCGTGAGTATTACCTGAATTTCATCTGTCGTTGAAAAGGATAGCGGAAGTCGCGATATAAACAGGGTTAAGATAATTACTACATGAAAAAGGCAATCGGCAACGTTGATTTTCATTGTGGGGGAATTCTTCACAACGCTGATTTTCAACGGCCAATGCAACTACTTCCAAAATAAACAATGATTAACCTTCATTTTCACCATCGCCGCCTGGTTTATACCGCCAGGAACTTGTTATACCGTAGCGTGACATAGTCAGTGAACGAACGAGAAATAGAATCCAAACTATAAGCGGCCAAAACTAACACCAGCGTCATGTTTGTACATACCATGGTTGGATAAATAAAATGGTAAACTACCCAACAGTCACTAAAGTTAGATTAGCTTTGTCATTAAAGTTTGAAAATATATAAATAGTAACTAACGTTATGGTTTTCTATCAAGATGGTTAGTCGTGTGACCGAAGTCTGATGCATAATTAGAAAGCTAATTTGGAACCTTTAACCAATCCCTTTGCCCCTTTTAAGTTTAGAAAAACCAAATGCAAAATTAAAATACTATTAGACTTCTTTTTGGATCAAGTCTCAAGTCAAATATGAGAGATTTACTTAATGGAGTTGTTCTCGATCCAATTATAAAGTGGTGGATATAGAAATATTTTGAAGACGAGCATATATTTATTAATAACACATAAATTTTGTATAAGTAAGCATAAATAAAAGTTCAAGATAGAAATAATTAATAAAACAAATAATAAATAAAAAATAGATTTTCGAGTAAACACGTAGCCACTTTAAGGTAAGAGTATATCCACCATTGTGGCCTTGCGAATATAAAAGAATCAATTTATAGCCACCCACATCCAACAACTCATAAACTTCCATGTTTTTTCAAACTTGAAAGAGGAAGCGATTGTCATTAGGAATGACAAACAGGTACAATTTCATGGATTCTGCATCGTACCCGTTTCAATTGGGGTGGGGATGGGTATAACTTTAGTGGGTATTGGGCGGGTGTGGATTTAGAAAGTGGTACCCTTCGCGGGTTGTGGACGGGTGATGGGTTTGAAACCTTACCCGCCCCGCATCCGTCTCGTATCAACCCGCCCCACATCCGTCCGCCCACTAAATACCCATTAAGTTTTTGACCATTATAAATTTAGGTATACTTTTAGAGACTAATTTATAAATCTTAATATTGTTAAATTGTGCTTAATTATCTTATTAAAGTTTAGTTACTAACTTATATTAGCTTTGGGCCAATATTAAAGGTAATATTATTATTTAGTCTGTGTTAGTTGTCAAATTGTGCTTAATTATCTTATTAAAGTTTAGTTACTAACTTATATTAATTTTTCCTTCTATTAAATATGTAGGTAGTAGTGAATTTAAATTGGAGCGCTCTCAATTAAGAAATAGAGAATGATGATTGTAATAATGGAGTAACAGATGTCACAAGTATTGCCTAAAATTTGAGAATGTTGTGTCAAAGAACAAAAATATTATGTGTTTGTCATTTATGTTTTTAGGCTTTAATTATGTCTTTTATTATGGTGTTTTATGTACTTTAAGATCTATGTCAACACTTAACTCAGACAATCCTTTGTTTATTTTATTATGCTTCTTAGTGGACGTGTTTGTTTTATGTTTGTTGCTTATGTATAATTTAATGTTGTTCTCAGGCGGGTCTAGCCGGGTACGTCTCTAGTTGGGTAGTGGGTGTGGATGGATTTAAGAATGTACCTGTGTAGGCGGGTGTGGATTTGAAAAATGTTACCCATATGGGTGGTGGGCGAGTGGTGGATTTAAAAATATTAGGTGGGTATGAGGATAGGGGAGGTGGTATCCGCACTTGACCCGCCCGTTTGACATCCCTAATTGTCATCACAAATCTAGGGGTCATTAGTAGGGATGGCAAACGGGTATAATTTTGTGGATTCCGTACTGTAACCGTTCCAATTGGGGCAGGGATGGGTATAACTTTAGTGGGTAGTGGGCGGGAATGGATTTAAAAAGTGGTACCGTCGCTGGTAGTAGGCGGGTGATGGGTTTGAGATCTTACCCGCCCCACATCCACCCACCCCACATCCGTCCGCCTACTAAATACCCATTAATTTTTGGATCATTATGAATTTAGGTATAATTTTAGAGACTACTTTATAAATCTTAATATTGTATAAGATATAACTTATAATTTATTACTTTAAGATCTATGTTAACACTTAACTCAGATAATCATTGATTTATTTTATTATGCTTCTTAATGGACGTGTTTGTTTTATGTTTGTTGTTTATGTATAACTTAAGGCTGATTTCAGGCGGGTCTAGCCGAGTACATCTCCAGTTGGTCAATGGGTGTGGGGATGGATTTGAGAATGTACCCACATGGGCGGTGTGGATTTAAATTTTTTACCCATCATGGGTAGTGGGCGGGTGGTAGATTTGAAAATATTAGGTGAGTATGGGGATGGGGGAGGGGTATATGCACCCGACCCGCCCGTTTGTCATCCCTAGTCATTGGAAACCTTTCAGTATTACCATTACCCACTAATATTAGAGGTGTTAAAAATCTGATCCGAACAATTTGATTTATTGATTGGTTGATCCCAATTTAAAATTTTAAATATTTGACCTATTTTTTATTTTTTAAATAATTTGAATTGAATATCTGAAAAAATAAAATAATCGAATCAGATAAGATACATATAGACTATAATTAAATTTTGGATTATCTTAACATCCAAAAACACAATATGGGCCTTAGAAAAGTTTACCCAACAATCTCAACCAGCCCAACCTTGCCTTGCAGATTAAATTTCCCAAAGCCCGTCCTAGACACCCAATTCTTCCTTGTTAACCATTTTTTAAGCATTGATCGATCAATTTCCCAAATCTGGGGTTTGCAGATTGTGTTGTGTTGGCCAAGTTGCGTGGAGACTCCCATTTGCTCTCCAAAATTTTCAGACTGAAATAGAGAAATTGTTGCATGAGGATAGATCCAGCTGCTTGACGAGCTTTATGCTGTTTTAGCGTGATTCGGCACTTCTGTGCTTTTAGTTAGTTTTCTTTCGTATTTGTCACAACCGGTTCTTGCGGAAAGCCGACTATTATCATGATAGGTTTTAGAAAAGATTTTTAATTAAATATTAGTAATCGTCACCAATCATTTTTAAGGTGTGACTGGGAGACTTAATTAGATAATTTTAATAAAATATTTTATTTTATCAAAAATATTAAATTTTGGTCTACGAAAACAAAAAAAACATGTATTCGAGTCATTTACGCATGGGGAAACTTCATTATTGAAAATTTAAAATTTTGAGTTTGAGGTTTTATTTAATTTAAAAATTATTATGTATACAAATTTTAAAAAAAATGTTGATTTACTAAGACCAATAACAACCACCCTCATGCATTTAATGCGAAGGCTTTGTTATTGATCTTAGTAAATAAACATTGCCTTAAGGTGCATTTGGTTTATGGAATGTAAGATTACTAGTGGGAATATAAAATTACCAGGGAATAGATTACTGGGAATGTTGTATTTTGTGTTTGGTTGACTTAGCAGGAATGTAAGATTACCGTGTTTGGTTAAAGGAATAAAAAATTATTGGAATGTATATTTGACCAAATTGTCCTTATTATATATTTATTTTTTTAACAAGTTGAAAAATATTTATATATTTTCTTTAAAAAATTTAAATTCATAAAATTTATATAATTATTTTTACAAAATTGGAAATATAAAAAGGTTTAATGAAAGGGTAAAATTTTATTTTAACCCCTGAACTTCATACAAAATTTTAATTATAGATTTTTTTTGTAAATCTAAAATAGTTTAAGGATAAATTTGTAATTTAACCTTCGTAGAATTTTTATTATTCAACGACATAATAAGAATATTTTTGAAAGAAAAAGAAATTTAAGGACATTTTAGTCCAAAACACCGGTAATCCAACAATACCTAAGGAAATGGAGGTAATGACATTCTCGGTAATATATCCAAAAAAATCCACTATTGGTAATCTTACATTACCGGGAATAGGATTCCCGGGCTAACCAAACGGAAGAATGTGGATTACATTCCCATGGGAATCTCACATTCCCCCATCCAAACACCCCCTAAAGATAAAGAAATAATGATATGGGGTTTTGAAAAGAAGTTGATTTACTTCGAAAATTACCAGTGATCACCCCTTGAGCATAACACAGATGATATATTATTAATTCCATTATAAACGAACATTGCCTAATTATTTTTTAAAATCGAAATGCAATCAAACAACCATTTATGAACATAATTATAGTAGGTGGGTTGATTAAGGCAATCCTTTATCTTAATTTGTCAAATTATGTAATTTAAATAACCTATAGGGCTAAACCTAGAGACGGAGGCACTAATATTAACCCTAATTGATTTTAACCTATATTAGATCGAATAATCAAAATACCATCTAACATTAAGACGATGTCCAAATCGAATATTCCTTGAATTAAAGGACTAAAAATGAAATTAAGACTAAAATGGAGGTTTTAATATTAACCCTAGTTAATTTTAACTAATTATTAAATCAAATACTTGAAATTGACCCTCAGGAACCAAGGTAAGGGTTGAATCAAATATTCCCTAAATTTTAAAAAGTTCAGAGACTTAATCTAAAAGAAGTCTAAATTAAAGGACTTGATCTGAAAAAGTGTACTAATTAGGGATTAAATTAACAAGAATCTAAACCCAATAATATTAATATGCTAGGATTTAAAGGGAAATTCACTAAAATAGATCCAAATTAGATTAATAGCATGATATTGACTAAATTCAAACTAAATGAGAATAGCAAGCAGAAATCAGAAAAATTAAAAACATAAGGATACCGTGGAAAAATGTAAGAACATAGGAAATTAGAGGGACTAAAAACTATATTTTCTTTTAATTCAATCCTAAGAACATAAAATGATTGAATAAAAAAACATAAAATGAGAAATATCCTATTTAGTACACTAATTTAGAAATAAATAACAAATAAAATAAACATGGTCAAATTGTTAAGGCAAGGCAAAACTTCAGGGACTAAAAGCTAAAATTCCATTTTATTTCTAACTAACATATTCAAGAAACATAAAGGGGAAATTGTCAAATCAGTGTTTCGATTCATAACTAAATAACATAAAAAAGTTTGGTGACCTAAATGCAAAAACGCGCCTGATTTCAGAGGA